TGGGCTGTAGAACCGCTGCAGATTCATGCGTTTGGGATTAAGGCTCTGGCATTCATCATTGGTATTTAAAAAAAGACGTTTCTGACTGGCCCTCATCTCCCCCCCCTTCTTTTTGGTTAAACTGCTCATGTCCGCATTGCTTTGAGGATATTTAATATTTGAGAAAAAAGCCCAGCCAGTGTGCGAGTTCGTCAAAGACGCATATTGCATTGTGAACTCGATTTGATAATGCCTCAACCCTGATGTGTGATTCATGTACGCATCTGCGAATGTTGAAGCGGAAAAAATCGTTAAATTAGATTGAGAAGGACTATCTGCCTAAGACTACTATGGTTGCTATGGCTGTTGTCAGGCCCCGAGAAATAAGACCGAAGGCAGAACGCGACCAGTGAGTTCTGTTAACGGTCGGTGAATGTTAAGCAACGAGTGTCAATATTTTCCGACCTAAACCGGCAAGACAACGAGCTCGTGGCTCGATGGTTAGGGTGTTTGACTCTGATCAAAAAGGTCGCGAGTTCGAGGCTCGGGTGGGACACCACTTGGGTCTGGGTATGACTAGCTAACGACGGCTAATAGGCCAGAAATGGCCATTCCAGTCTCTTTTATCTTGGCCGGAAATACTATGTGCCTAGACTACTAGCCTCTATGGATGCTGTTAGGACGCAAGAAATGAGAACCAAGGCAGAGTGGCACAGCGGTCGATGAACGTTCATCAAAGAATGTTCTTAAAATAGCATCCGGTTCAGCGAGGATAACCGTGTAAGCGCCTAAGAAGTCAAGTTTGCCGCAAGTTCGTTGTAGATTATCGTTTTCATCATCCCCCATAGAAGACGAAGAAGACGGTACGATGAGATGGACCAAATTACATTGAGACTGACGTTTCGGATGCTCGCTTGTTTCCATCCTTAGAGTAAAGTAGTGCTGGTTCCTGTTTGCCGGGACTGTTTCAGCCTTGCCGTATGCCTGGTGTTATATTCGTGCTCGACGCACGCACTTTGACCTGCTCGTTCGCCGCAGACTGCCCGTGAGATTGTTCGCTGGGGGATTCGTGTGGCCTTTTTCCCCTCTGCGGCTGCCGTAATTGTTGGCAGGTCAGCGTGTTTACTGGCCTGTCCCTCGTCCACCGACGGACTAATCACTTGTAGCTGCCCGCGTGAGTTGATGTTGGTCAGCTTATTCATCATCAGCGCTTTAAATTAAGATAAAGAGATAGAGTAACGAAGATTTAAACGTCCAATGAGCAGAGAGTATGAGGGAGGGCATTGAGGCCGTTCAGAGGTCAGGAGTTATAGTCAGTCCCATCAAGAGCTAAGGGGCATGAGCTGTCCGACACTTAGCGAAGTCACTGTTGCTTCGCTGTAGCGTGACGTGTCAGGCGGTGTGAACATAGGCTGTATTAGTCTTCGTTCGGGGGAGCCCTCGGGCCCGTATAAACACTGTCAGCGAGCTCAAAGTTGGGTTATTCAGCCGTATGTTTAAGCTTTTGTTATTCTACCCCCTGACATTACTTTAAAGGCCTAATTTCATTGTATCAAAATCTGTCCACGGAGCACAATCTTCTCTCAGTCTGCGGATATCGTCCAAGGCCTAAGCAGCATTTATTTGATAGCTTCCGTCCTATTAGTAATTGTTGTAGACAATTGTATCCTTGTAGCTGTATGTTTTTAAATTTAATTTTCAGCCTATGCAGGAATCTGGTAGAGACACCACTGGCAACGACAGACGGTGTGTTCACGTGACAGGCTTGCACACCTAGTAGACGTTTTCTTAAAGACTGTCCAAGATAAGTAACGTCAACCAACTGTGCCCTTAAAGTAGTGCCGTAGGCTCACTTTGTTTCAGCACTGTTTTGCCCAGCTTTGAGGTCTTCCTAAAGCTTTCGGTCTCTAATCGATATTGCCTGTATCTCAACAACTTTTAAAAATTGGTCAGGTAATTGGTTGTTCTTTTTTCATTCCTACCTAGTGGTGTGTTGTTTGTGATCCTGAGCATAAAACACTGCGAGATACGATTTTTCAGTAAAAGATGCCTATATACGGTTGGTTTGTCTTCTAAGGAGTTGCAAAGCATACTATCACCCAATTTCGCTTCCGTTCAGAAAAGGTGCAGTTACAATTTGAGAATAGGGTTATTTTGACATCGATTTTACTTTGAATATACGGGGTACTGTGCATTCCAAGGTGAGATAATGGAGGATTATTTAGGTTTTCCCTTTTAATTCAGAAGGCAGTTTGATAATTGCATGTTTTCGCCGAATCCTCACCAAGACTGCACCTGTTGCCTATTAATATAGTCAATTAAAAGTGGATGTGAAAGATGCAGCTATGGCATTTTTAACTGTCCACTTGATGCCTTAATATTCTTATGCAATTATTAACCCTGCCTTCCCACATTATTACTACGGCCAAGTGTTTGCCGTCTAATTTGACTAATGTCCCTTCGTTCAAAGCATTGCTTTCTAAACTTTCAATATTATTAGTTAAATGGACTCTTCGTGTGATAAGCGCAGGATGCAGCCCAGAGTAAAAGAAACGATAATTTCTCCTGCGTGCCGAACTAATGCATTTTGAGCGTTTTCCGAGAAAGCAAAACAAATAACTGTTGATTCTCTAATATTTTTCTTGTCGCACAGACCCTAGTATCGGTAACGCGAACCTTTTTTCAGATACGTGCCCTTTCCTGTCTCTTGATGTCATGTTGGTGTAAGGTGGCTGAGTTCTTCAATGTTCCGCCATTTTTTGTCTCCTTGTAGGCTGGCCTTTCTTGGCCTCAAACTTATTTTGGTTGTCTATTCGCGGCATTCTCTGGCAAGGGTTCGGCAAATCAATGCCGTACTGGCCAAGCTGACCTTCTACCGAAGCTGCGCTGCTCAGTTGTGGAAATTCGTTGACTTCATGGTGACCTATCGACCCAGTATATTTGTGCACCTCGTACCCTTCATCCGCTTCCAGGTTTGTTTTTGGACCTTTATGGAGAGCTGTTCTTTTAAACGATTTTATTTAAAACTCACTTGTCTGCTTTTTACACCGAAAACACCTCAGGTACACGAAGTGACCGTAGAATTGATAAAACTGCTAACTGGTGCAAAGATGACCTCGATTACGCATGGTACACATAGGCTATATAACTAGAAGGATTAAAACAAATTAGTTAGTAAGTCGTAACATCCCATCAGGAGATGATGCAAATGCTAAAAAGAATGAATGTTATCTGTCCGGATGGATATAAAATAGCGTTAATCTAGCTATAATTATTATACGATTCGGTTTCTTACCATTTATTCTCAACTTAAGTTATTTTTGAAAAAATATCGGGGAAGTTTTTCACCCTAAGTATTCAACTAGACCAGCCACGAAGATTATCTTAGTGGCTTTAAAGCCCCTTATCGGTTGCTTACCTCCGGATGTCTTAGGGGAAAATGTGCCGAAAGCAACAAGTCCTAACAGTAGTATGTAATTTTTGCTTGATTCACGGTAAAACCCAAATAACAGTTTTGAAGTTCCCCTCAGGAACAAAATATAGTCGGACAAACAGCCTGGACTTTATGAAGATGCATCAAATCTCGCTCAAGAATGTGTTATTGTGTCATAAGGCCGACTCAAATTCACGCTTACGGAGAACATACAGCTAAATTACTGGGCGTGTTTCGAGTGAAGAACTTAGAGCACATTTATTATCAATTTTCTACGTATACGACTCTCAGTTTTTTTAAATTATTTTTTTAAAGCAACATTATAGTCGCCTTTGACACTCTCCTTCAAAATCAACCCAAACTATCAGCCCGTTAAATAAAACAAAATGCTTTTACAGAAGCTCGTTGTTGGTTCATTTAAACACTAGAAACCTTTCTAACTAGCCTGCAATCTTGCTGCTATCCTTTTTGTAAAGCAGTCACGCAAGCCAGGTATTTTAATTAGTGTTACTTAATCACAGAATAGTTTATGAGCGCCCCACATGGGTGTTTTTGGAAGATACCATTCACCTCAAATAGCATATAAAATTTGGCCAACGGAAAGATTGGGCAACTTTGTGGATATGGAATCAAATACGGGTCAAACTATTGTACATACGAACCCGGAGCAGGTGAGTACCTGGTACTTACAGCGTTACGTGGCCACCAAATGAATATATTCCTTTTATTATTCTACAGCACAACATGCTCAACGAGGTCTAATAGTCACGCTTTAAAAAAACAAGAAGGCCGATTCCCTTAGAGGTTAACGCTAGCTCTGCTTTTCCACCAAGGACGTGTGGAGGTTAGCAATAACCTACGTTGCTAATCAGCACCCGATATGAGGGGAATTGCTATGCACGTAATAACCTCACTGTGTAAAAGCGACCCAACTATTCATGAATGAGGAGAGCAAATAGTGTTCCAACTTCAAAATCTCCGTTACAGCAGAAGATCGTGGAAATTCCTATGAGTTGGCATCAAAAAAAGACTTAGAAACATAGAAACCTCTTCGATGAGGCGGATACCGGAAAATTTGGCTGCACGAAACATGCGGTAGAATAGTCGAGATAGACAAATACCCAAAAAACATATATACAATTTTAAAATTATCTCCTGAGGATGTTATAGAATAAGGCGTCATCAAGCTCTTTGTTATGTTGGGTAGACTTATTGGCCAAAATGTCTGCTTATCAAGTCCATACTTTCGCCGTATCAACCTGAACGCCATTCTTTCTGTGGTCGTACTTGGGATGCTGGATATATATAACGCATTTTCCTAATCGTTTTTCCGTCTGCAATTTAAATTATAGACTGTTTTCTCTTCTTAGTTGAGTTTCTCCTTTCGGGAAAAAATTTCCTGCCTGAATTATATTTACTACAACTAGGCTTTCACCCAACAGCTTAGGAAGGAGGATAAGACTTACGCATTATCGCACCGTTTCGATGGCTTTAACTTTTATATTTCCTTGATTTTGTTTTTCCAAATCCAGATGATGAATATAAACTGCGAAACTCAGGGTGAACAGGCCTTTCAACAAATAATTGGTCAGAAGCTGTTGGGTCTCCATGTGCCTCCACAGCCAACCATTGTGTCCCTTGTCAAGGACCTACTGTTGGACCTGAGGGTGTTGCAAGAAGAAAAGAGGGTGAGCACTGTTCAGGGGCCTCTTTTTAGGCTGACCCTTATTTTTTCGCTTACTCCATTGCCAATTTGATTGCAGAAAAGAGTACTTGTGCATTTTTCATCCACTTTTGGTGGATTTGGACTTTAAAAACAGTGAAATGCCTGTTGAGACATAGACACCGCTCTCCATTAATCAAGCATAGCATCGTCAAGTCCAGGCTAGACTTGGACGCCAGACATGTTTTATTGCCAGCTCCACTAGGTCGTAGAAAAGTGATCTCCCTAGCCCGATAACAGCGGCGAATGTTCTGATTGTCGGATTCTTTTCATCTAACCGACGTTCAAGCGCTAGCTTCTCTGAAGTCAGTTGATAAGTTAAATCACCGCTCTCTGGTTTCGCCAAGTTTATAATTCGTTATGCGACAACCCAAGCAGCAGTTAAAAATATGGAGTTTTGAGTAGAGAACCTGCCTTAAAGTGACCATACCAAAGCAGAGTCACTATTTCGCAGCGTTGATCCTTCCCTCTTGATAATTCCAAAGTTTGCACAAAACAACCTCATCAATGTTCTCATTTGATGTTTAGTCAACTGTACAGAATTAAATGTTTAACGAGGGCTCTAAGAGGGTGGCCCAAAATACCCTGTAAAGGCAGTGTAATTGTGGTTATTACTGGCTCATTTAAAATGCAGAGAACAGATACTCGACAGGACTTAATTTTGTGGATTCCCTTTTGATACTACTTTTACGGGGGTTATTAATCGTAGTTTGGTAAACCAGTCGGTCGTTTAAGAAGGTCATTGCACACAACACGGACAATTTAAAATCCAGTGATGATCAAGTAGGAGACACTCTACTTAAGTAATCACAAACATTTGAGGAATTATTTGGATTCCCGCAGTAATACACTATTTATCACATAGTAAATATCCTAGGCAAGTTATAACCCATGGGGGTTCATTAAGGTCTTCTACCATAGCACAGAGTACGTGGAAAGATCTCTCTAAGGATGTCCACCATGCAGAGAAAAAACTAATGCGATGCGCCAGTTGGCTATTCTTCTCATCGCCCCCCTACATAAAATGCATCATTTACATTTTTTCATGCCACAACGCGAGGCTGATACGGGCTGGTTTGCATTTCCATAGAGTTTCAGGGTAAAGTTCTCACCCACACGGGGGTTGGCGATCACACGTGTTCTGACACTCGTTGATGAATATTCACCAACCGCTAACGGAATTCACTCGTCCTGCTCTGCCTTGGGTCTTAGTTCTCTGGCCGTTAGAGCGGCCGCGCAAGAGCTAGTATTCCAGTTGGAGCCTCGGGTGATGCACTACTTGGAGTTGGG